TTTTAAAAAAAGGGAAAAAAAATTCATACCTTCATTCTGCAATTGTGGCTTTGAAGAACATAGTAGGGATAAAAATTTCTATTTTAGATTTTTTTATGAAATAATATTTTTTTTTTCAAAATCATGAAAATAGCTGGTTGCAATATACAAAACAGAAAAAAAAAAAAACTTTCAAAAAAATTATAGGTAAAAAAAGATACGATATTTTGGCCTGATTTAAATCGTATTATGAAAAAAACGTGTTTTAAACGTTTTTATGAAACTAAGAGATTTTTTCCGACCTTTTCAAAAAGTTGCCGTTTAAAACTGTTTCCATAAAAACCCTGAATTTTTTAAAAAATCGTCAATTAAATGGTGATTTGCTAACTAGGGTCTTACTTCATTTCGAACAAAAGTTCCAATTGTTTAATTCAATGTCATTTGGGATCTTTATCTCCCAAGGGTGAACTTTCATTCTCCTGTATTCTAAAAGCATATAGATGTTTAGCGACTACACGAGAATTGGTGGGTACAAGTCTCATTTGAAGGCATAGTGACTACATGGGCATTGGTTGTTGTTTCATTTATTTTTTGCAGAGAGTTGTTCTCTTTCCTGTTTGAAACAACTCTTTTGCATCATATGTTTCACTTTTACCTTCCTCATTTCTGGTGTTAACATGTTGTGATTTCCTTGGAAGAAATGTATTCTGGAGAATTAGAAGTCAATCCTTTTTTATGTTCAATCCCTGATTTAGAAGGAACCAGTCGCAGTTTGAATGGTATCTAACTTAAAGCTTATCACTTACAGGTCAAAACAAAGAAGCATTTTTGATGGATCACATGTCTTCTTAGTTCTGACTTATTTTCTTTTATCAGTCCTTCAATAGAAAGGAGCTTGTTGTAGTTTGAACCATTTCTGACCTTCCATTTTTCCACTTTCAAGTTATACGACCTTGTTCCCTGATATTGTTTGTCATGTGGTTTTAATAAATTTTGTTTGAAGTATGGAACTCTCTCCTATTGAGTTTTAAGTCCATAGAAATGGGCTTAAGCCATATTAAACCTTAACTTTTTATGGGAGTTGGTAAGAACCTTTCTTTCCAATACCGTTTCTTTGGATTTTCCCTATGGTTGTTTCACTGCTCTCCATGAACTCTCTCCAACTGCTTTCCTGAAGTGGGTTTTTATAGAGGCTTTGGGAGCTGTCACTGTTAATTTTCATTTTTCAGATGTCCTGCAAATGATAAACCTGGTGGCATAATTATTGCTGTAGCTGATTATGTGCTTAGTAGCTGATTATGTGCTTCTAAATATGGAGGTTGTTTGTAACTTTGTATGATATGATCTTGCTGTCCATGTTTTGCATCTGGCCATATTTGATCCTCGAGACAATCATCAAAACAGTTAAATATTATAATAGAAGATTCTGCCATTTAACTTTCGAGATGGTCGGACTTAGGAAATAACACACTAGCTGCCATCTAAGGTATCACAGCAACAAATATCTGTGTATTCTTAGAGGTAAGGGGGCATCTCTACACCTTACCTCGTCTGGTTGTACATGGGAAGTACCATATGTTAGTTCCACATGAACTGGCTAGACATGCTTTAGCTGCTAGCTTATGGAGCCTTCAGGGAAAAATTACAAAAACCCCCAAGACCATATTTTCTATGCAACTTACCCCCAACCAAATAACCCTTCAAGAGAAAAAATTCATTTTTTTAGATGGAAATGCTTTTACACAAAAATCATTTTGGCCAGATTCGACGTTGACTTTTGGACCCCAGTGGCACATTAGCGGAGCACACCATCACATTGTCGGAGCGCACAAATGCCGGACCGCCCTAAGACAACTACTGGACCGAAACTGAGTAATGCCGGACTACCTTTTATATAGTACCAGAGCATTGGAATCCAGTAACATTTATTAATGGACCGTCGGACCACCCTAAGACAACTAACGGACTTGCCGAAACTGAGTACCGCCGGACCGCCTTTTACATAGTACCAGAGTTGCCGGATCGGACTTTATACAGTGCTGGAGCCCTACTGTCGTAATAAAGTGTTGGAGCCCTACTGTCGTAAAAGTAAGGGAGGGTAGTTTAGTCATTTTTTTATTTTTTATTTTGTTGGAGAGGTACTTGCATAGCAAGTGTATTTTGAGGAAGAAAGTGAGAAAATGTTACGTTGGGGGTAAGTTGCATAAAAAGTGTAGTTTTGGGGTTCTTTTTGTTTTTTTTTGTAATTTTCCCTATATTTCATCCTATTAGAGGGGCTGAGCTTCTCGAATATTGAGATTTTATTTGGAATAGCGTTTATTTTCCAATTGTTACCTTTTATAGCATTCTTTTTCAATTGGTGCTACTGTTATGGTAGCATTCTCATACCACACCAGTTAAGCTTCTCTAATATGGAGGTTATGTTCAGAGCAATCATCCTAAATCTCAAGGCCTTCAATGGCAGGTGAATGATGAAACACTTCCAGGTTTAAGGACTATAGCGTCTTATATTAATAGGAATTTCTCTGTCAAGAAGGTGAATTTGTCATCTTGATTAGAATTTTAGTGGAAAATCTCTCCTAGTCGGAAAAATTGTTACTATTTTTATGGGGTTGTGTATTGCAATAGCAAGTTATTAGCTTTTTGATCGAATCTGGCTGTGCCAGTTGTAAATTAAGTTGTTCATTAGTTGTTTCACTTTCATCTCAAATAAAATTGATCCATTGGTTGATTGGTTTTTTTGGTTGAATTCATTTAGGTCCTTTGGATGAAAATATAAATGGAGGGACAAACATGTGAAGCTGGGTTTCTACCCAAACTTTGCCTTAGTGTGGAAAAGTTCAATGTATGTGTCTCAGATGGGTTGCTTTCTGATCAAGTGGCTGCCATGAAAGAAGAGTGCATGTGTGTTCTCAAGGATCACATCACTAAAAACAATGCCCCCATGGATATTCCAGATGAACCTCTTGAAGGTTCCTCTGAAGACGAGCCTGGTGATCCGCCCAAGAAGCAAACTGAAACTGGGAGATCCAAGAAGCGAAAATGATCATTTGTTTTGGTTTCAGGATCACCTTTCGACTTTATTGAACTGATTACAAGTGGCAGGGTTGATTCGGGAATTTTACTAGTAGTCTTTTGTGGGATTTTATTGTAATTTGTTGTCTAAATAAGAGTATGACAAGGATCACCATGTTAAGGCAAACATAATTGATGCCCAAAAAAATAAGAAAAAGATTAAATGTTGTAGTACTTCGTAAGGCCATTGGGACATGGCCTGATTCTAGGATTGAAAACTAAAGGGCGCTGCTGATATAGTCATGGGGTGTTAAAATAAAAAAATATATATAAACAAAAAAGAAGCTGTAAATGTACTTAGACTTTGAAAATTGACTATTTGAAAATAATTAAAAAGAAGGGCTAAACACGGACAAAATGAAGTGTAAATGAGAAGAGACTAAAAAAATCGGAAAAACCATAGAGAAAAATACAAACTATAGGTAAAACATTTAAGAAATATGGAAATCTATAAAAAAAGGGAAAGGATATCGCATTTGGTTGAAAAGAAGGGATTTTTTCTTGCGAGAAAATAACGTTTTCTCTTGCGAGAAAATAAAGTAATGCATAATTGCATGATTGGCATCCACAATTTCTCCCCTGATGATAAAATTAAAGAATGGCATAATCCCCTGTGGCAGACCTATTTATTTCCTTTCTCTAAACTATGGGAATAAATGTGCATTACGTTCTCAACAATTAGAGGGTTCGTCCGTTTGAAATGGACACCGTTAGGGGTTGCAATGGGCTGTGCCTGGCTGGGTCGCCCGTGGACGTAGCCCTAGCCCTAGCCGTGGACGTAGCCCTAGCCCTAGCCCTACTCCCCATAGGGCTGGCCTAGGCCCAAGCCAGCCTTGATTATGTAACAGTGTTGCAATGGGCCGGGTCTAGCTTGGTCACCCCTAGCCATAGCCCTAGCCCTACTCCCTATAGGGCTAGCCCAGGCCACGGCCAACCTTGACTAGGCCCAAAAGACCTGGCCGAGGAAAGACTCTATCCTACCCTCAGGCTGTAGTTGTTGGGCACCTGGCCTATTGCGACCCTTGCATACGGTACTTCCGTACATTTTAGAGTCTCTTATGTACATTTTAGAGTATAAAAAGAGTATAAAAGACCTACCATTTTAGAGTATAAAAAACCTAGCTGCATTATTTTCGCGAGTTGAACAATTCCCATGATTCATTTTAGAGTATAAAAAACCTAGCTAGTTGCATTTTTTTTGCCCCTCCATTTTAGGGCTCGCTTCTCACCATAACTTTGCCAATCAAGACGGTAAAATGTAGAACAATGATTTATGGGAACTCAAATTGCTGAGCTCAGGTCTGCAGTGAAAGGAACTCAAATTGCTGAGCCCAGGTCCAGTGAAAGGAACTCAAATTGCTGAGCCCAGGTCAGTAGTGAAAGGAACTCAAATCGCTGAGCCCAGGTCAGTAGTGAAAGGAACTCAAATCGCTGAGCCCAATATCAGGTCTCTGTGCAGTGGAAGGAACTCAAATTGCTGAGCCCAATATCAGGTCTCTGTGCAGTGGAAGGAACTCAAATTGCTGAGCACAATATCAGGTTCTTCTCTGTGCAGTGAAAGGTCCTTTGAGCTATGGCTCTCACAGGAGCATAGAAATTTTGATGCGTTTCACAGGATCATAGAAATTTTGATGTGTTTTTAGTTGGAATGCTGTTCTGGGACTGCACAAATTCCTTTTTCTCTTGATCTTTTCTCTTAAGAACACCAAATTCAGCTCTGCCTTAGGAAAAGCAACAACGATTAAATGATCCTAACCACTAAGCCGAGAGCCCAGATCGCAACAGGTTCACCTTTTAATCAATCTTGCCTTTCTATTCATTTCACAATTGGTTTTGAGCCAGCCAAACAAAAAAAAAAGGAAAAATTGAGAGGTTAAGTGTCTCTCAGCCGGTGGTGAGCGCAAAAGTTGAAGCATCAAACAAAGGATAATGAGGGGTGGAGCAAACTAAATAGTCGTGATGTTATAGAAACCAAGTGCTTGTGCTGAGGCAACCTCCTCTGAAACCAGAGCAGACACAAGCAAAGTCTTCACCTGCCATGGCCGAAGGGGGAAGCCGTGCCCACCATATGAGCACAACAGAGCCACTACCCCTTCTCTTAGCAACTGAGCCCAACCGTCATGGCTCTCATCTTCTTCTTCTCCGAAGTCCAACGCCTGCGCAACACCAAAAACTTTCTCAAGTGACCAGCCACACCAATTCTCTGGTATGCTACACGGAATGGAACATGATATGTTCCTCTTCACTCGCGATTGAAGCTTCGGCAAACAGCCATGGTGGCTGCTGTTGTTTGGCAAGGCATTTACACTGTGGAGGAGGAGAAAGGATAGGAGGGAGAGGAGGAGGAGGAGGAGGCAGCGCATATTCGGCTGAGATTGAATAGAGGATGAGAGACACAGCTGTATATGGTTTTGGTGCATAATGAAAAGCAGGGAGGGGAGGGGACGGGAGGGGAGGGCATGTGCTTCCATTGATATCACTGTGCAGTGCGTCGTCTGAGTTTTCATTGTTTTGGGGTCCCTCACCGACAGCAACGATGATGAGGGTACGTAGTGTGTGTGGCGAATTTCTTGATGAC